GTTATGTAGAGGGAAAACGGGACGAGGACCGAGGGGAGATTCATGGTTAGTCGGACTGTCATCTGGGGGAAAGAATGGTAGAAAACCCCAGGTTCCAGGGTCAACCTCGTCAACTGGACGAGTCCATCCTTCTTGTTCGTGAAGTATCTCGGGCAGGCTGTGATTGAAGCTCTCTGAGTCATACCAGCTACATGTCGCAGTTTTGTCGCCCTGAAGGAATCGACAGTTTTCAGCCCAGACCTTCAGAGCAATCATAGCACCAAGCCCATCTAAACAGCAGTGGTTCAAGTCAACAGCAACAATACAGCCCCCTTCAACAAAGTTGACTTGTCCAGCAAAAATATCCGCGGGTATTTTAGTGATCGGATCGTCACGTAAAACAAGGCTATCCTTGAAGAGTGATGGGGCAAAATCAGCCTGTCGCAGCTTATCGAAGGAAGGAAGAATGCTCGAAAGATCCTTGTATACAAGACGATTGGCAGCGGAAGCTGCCATGGATAGTGGAGGAATCGTCACACAAAGGTCCCCCTTCTTATAGCCAATCTCCTGCTCTGAACAATACATAATCTTGCCACTCAGAGCTGGAATCAAGTCGAATGTGCGATTGAGACCCTCTTGCAAATTTTTGAACACTTCCTCGTAGCTGACCCCATCTCGGAGGGAGAAATAAAAGACAAGCCCCATGTTATGATTTGGGTTGACATAATCCAATGCATTCAGCTTAAAAGATTGCCTTGACTGGTGCTGAGCAATCATTCTCCTTAGTTTCATTGTTTCATCGTCCATCGGCAGGCTCAAGGGACCAGCCTTGCTGGAAGCCTTTGCTTCCTCAGCTAACTGAGCAATAGTTGTGGCCAGACTAGCAATTGTAGGGTTAGCATACACATGCCTGGGAGCAATACTTTCACCCAAGCCAGTCGCCATTCGAATTTTTTTGATGGCCGCAAAAACACCAAGAGAATCAAGGCCGAACTCGAATAGATCTGTGTCCACAGAAGCCTGTTGTATTTCTTGTACTGAAGATGCCAAGATCTCACGAACTCCGTTCTCGATCGCATCAGTTGACCCCATGTTAATGGGGAATACAGCATCCATTTCATCAGGGTCATCACTTAAGGAACTGTAAAATCTGTCAATGTAGTTGTTATACAGAGCCAGAGTTGCTGCCCGCTTCACTGTTCCCTTATCGGTGTAGATAAACGGTTTGTCAGGCTTTGTGAAGGTTACAAAGTCTTTAAGCAGCTGGTCCTTGTGGCGAGACATCGAATTAGCTTTCTTCACTGTCTCCCAGATGCTATCCAATAGTGCGTCCGACTTTTGAGATGGGTCTTTTAGGTCGAT